GAGTTTGTGAGAAACGGGAGCAAAGGCGTATGTTCGAAAGTGTACCAGACTTGGCATCGCCGCCACATTTTTCTTTCACCTTTGAAATAGGGAAGGTTAGAAATGGAGTGGTCTAATTTTGAAACATTGAGCTTTTTAGGAAGAAGCAAGCTTATTATGACTTTTAAATAAGACAGAATATGACCTTGAATTAGAGACAAATCAGCTGCACGTCTCATTGGTGAGTGCAGTGTACCTCGCTGTACAGCACTCTGCTCACCCAAGCCAAGGATGGGCAGGTGGCTGTATTCTGCTGCCAGGTAATCATCTGAACCTCATTGGCAGGCACTGAAGCAAAAGGCAGAGAGGGATTTGCAGCTGGCAGGAAATATTAGAGAATTATTAGGAAAAGAGAAGGAAGTGTGGTTCAAAGTTATAAAATGTGTATGTATATATAGAGGGAGAGAGAGTTCTATTTTTGTATATATAGTTCTATTGTATATATCTATGTGTCTATAGCATTTCCCACCCGTGTTTTTGTATCATATGTTCATGAACTGGATATGCTCTATCACTGATCAGATTAGAAAAATATCACCTTATTCGCTCTTTGTTCCTTACCTGCAAAGAATCTTGGTTAGCCACTTCATTAGAACTCTCTTACAGAAAAAAAAAACAAAAACAAAAAACAGTAATTCACCTTGAGGATGAAATAGTAGATTAAGTATAGTTAATGGTTTTGCCAAACTTAGCAAATGTGAAGATGATAAACTGCATTGTTTTATTTTTAAAACTCTAATATTCTTCTTGGTAGACTTTAGTCAACTGGTAAAGAACAGTTAAAAAGAGAGAAAAGCTAAAGAATTACCAAAGTATAGTAGTCTGATATCACTACTCCTAATTTTTTCTTAGCCTTTTGATTACTGATGAACCAGATTAGAACAATAAATGGATTGTTACACTTGGCATTTTGTACTTTAGTCTGGAAATATTGGCATTAAAAACTAAAAGTCATACTGCCATTTGAGCAATATTCTTAGATCTTCATAGAATTTTTTTCTTTAAAAATTTTGTAGTTTTCAAATGTCTTTGTTTGATATGATTTTTCAATTTGTTATGTTTTTCTAAAGAAAAATTAGGAAACTTCTAGCTCAGGCATCAGAGTTGGCCCTTGATTTGGTTTCTTCTGACCTTTGGAAAACTGTTCTTTGGAGTAAATGCTGTGTGCAAGAAGAAATCATGATGTGCTCTGGTTCTTCTAGAATGGAACATGAAAACTGGAGACTCAGTTAAACATTTCTTTGTGAGCTGTGGGTTACACTTTGATGTTTACAAGCCACATAAATTGCAAGATACGGACTCCATTTCACTTATCCCATTTATCTGGCTTTTCACATTTTTCTTCCACCTGTTTCTTTCTTCTTCCTGTTTGCTTCCTTTTTGTCTCCTTATATTTCTTCCTCTCAGTGGGTTTTCACCTCTGTGCAGTGTGTGTTCCCCTGACCCATTCTGCTTCTGACCCTTGCTCAGGGCCAGTCCCCACCTGCCAGCCTTGAAGAGCTATCTCTGTAGCAAGGGCCAAGGTCAGTTTGTGAGGAGAGGTGTCTGGGTCTTCAGATGCTGTGCTGAGGAAACACTGTCATACAGTTTCCCTGACTCCTTCTGACTTCTTTACCTTGTGGAGCATTTTGATTTTGACCCCAAATTCTGTTCCACAGAGTCCCCCTCAGGCATCTGTCCTCCTTGGATTTTGGCGTTTGTTTGCCAGGTTTCTAATTTTGCTTCTATATCACAAACTGAATTTTAGTGTCTTGCTCATACTTTAACTCTTCCTTCCCTTTCCCTGATTTTCAGCTTTGTATTTCCTGCCTTGAAGTCATCCAGCCCATCAGCAAGATGTATTAGCGCCATCCTCAAAATAGAGATACCTGCAGACTATTTAATATAATGCTTACTGGTGATGTTCATATCAGAAAAATTTAACAAAATGAGATACAGAAAAAGTCTCAAGTTGCATTCCGTATACAAATGCTAGAACATCAGAATCACTTGTGAAAATTTTGAAGTCAGCAAATCGGGTGTGGATCTAAGATGTTGCCAACACTAGAAGAGACTTGAGGTGTCATACTAATGTTACTGCACAGAAAGCATCTGTTGACTAATCATGTTGTTTAGTGGCTAATAAGTGCTATTTTTGGTATTTCACATTTATTTTGTGTGATAGTTTGTTTCTTATATATTGGCATTTTCCTGAGTTTTAAAACGAGTTAGTTTTATTTAGGAAATCAGTCGGGCTCAGCGGGAGCAGGAGGTAGGGTTGCATGTAATGCATTAATTTAAAACACTGGGGAGCAGATTCCTCCTGAGCATTTTCATGCTGAACATGTGATTTTAAGAAATAGTTTATGGCAGTTAAGTGGGAAATGATTCTGTCTCCCAATCTGACCACTTTTCACCACCACTGCTATTACCACCCTGGTCCAAGGACTGATCATTTATTCCCTGGATTCTTATGAGCTCTGTGGTTCTACACCTGCTCTTTCCAATCTGTTCCCAGCACAGCAGGCAGAATGATCCTGTTAAAAATGTCAGTCGGTTCACTTTACTCCTGTGCTAGAACAGTGCAGTAGCTCCCCATTTTATGCAGAGAAAAAAACAAATTTTATTCATTGGTCCACAAGAACTTCTCTTTTTTGTGCTTTTCTTATATCTCTGTAATATAGATCATAATCTTAAAATATATATTTTTATTAGTTTGATTTGAGTAATGTTTCATGTTTTCTATCTTCATTTTAAAAGCATGTTTTTTATATTCCTCTTAAGCAAGAGATTTTTTAAGTCTTTCTGCAGTAAATGGCCCTTATGAGACAGACACCCTAAGAGGATATATTTCTTCCTCTCTGAAATGAAGATAACATCTACCATTAATACCTACTCACCTCAAAGCAATCTTTTTCTTGAATTTCTTATTAGCTCATTTTTTGGTCCTCTGTATTTCTGTTACTCGGTATTCTCTCTTCTCTGCCTCATCCCCGTAGGCCTAAGTTTGTGTCTGTCTTTGAATAGCATTTCTGGCCAAAGGGGGAAAACCCTCTACTGCCTTTTTTTCTCATCGCACCTTTCCATATGTACAGAAACTTTCATTCCCCTCAACTATGCTGCGACATGATTGGTAAAGTTAAGGATAGATGGTTGGGTGATTTATTTGTAGACTGTAGGCAGATTTCAAATAAAAATTCTTCCTAAAAAGATAAAGGAAAAAGTCAATTATTTTTGTTAAGGAAGAGCCCTCCCTGCGAATGGACGTGGGGGTGAGGGGGGATTGTTGTGTGATTAATTTTTTTTATAGAACCTAAAATTTCCAGTAAATCTCCTTTTCTCACATTCTGTGGCTTGTGTGTCAGCTGTCCTTAATAACATTTTTTACATATTTGACTATCACCCAACTAATAATGTTTTTTATAAGTATTTCTTCATAGCATGTTTCCCAAACATATATATATTAGTTTGTATGTACATAATGTTACATATTTACTTTGCAAGGAAGATATTTAAAGGTATTACTTCTGTTTTATATACATAGAATGTTAGATTCATTGTTTTGTTTTTGCATAAAAGGAACTTATATACCACACAGTTGAGCTTTTTTATTTCTATGAATTAAATTTCTCTTCAGGTAATTTATGGTATGATTTAAAGCTTAAATTTACATTCGAAGTCTTCTCCAAAATTCTAATTCACAGATATTAATTGTTATTGATGTTTGTCAATAATATACAGTTTAAAAGCATCGGAGTGTTAGCATTACTGGGAAAACTTTGTCATTCATTTTAAATTGATGTATTTTTCATTTTTGCTCTAATCAAGAAAAGTAGACAGGTCAAATGGATTCTGTGATTGGTTGGCATTTACACAGGTCTTTCGTAAGATTTAATAAAAGGTGACATCAAATCAGAAAAGTAATCTATAAGACAATCAGAGAAAAACAATCTTTTAAGCACATTCTTGTCAGTATTGTATCATGCCCATTCCGCAACTATAATCTCTTTGTGTATCTGTCAAAAGATGTAAAGCTATGTTCAGTAATGAGGATGGCAGGAGTTTGAGACTTCATGTTCTTTTTGTGACAGGAAGGTCAGCCTTTTGAAAAGGGATAGAAATTAACGTTTCTCCAGAATTATGTTTCCCTTTATTTGGGATTATCTTTTAATTTCAGCATTTTACTATGTTTGATAAATAGGCCAAATGTATATTTTATTCGTTTGGGGATGTGGGGAGGTGATGAGACTTTACAGATTTCAACTGGCATTGCACTCTGCTGATAAGGATGGGAGTTTGCACCGCTCTAAGGAGATTACATGAAGTAGAATTGGAAAGCAAATCGTATTTACAAAAGATACGATGATGTTCCTAATAGGTGCTCAGAATAGACTATTCACTCATATTCTGCTGAGCTTTACTAGAAATAACTTCATTTCAAAAAGGACAAATCTGATTGACGGTAAAAGCATTCCCTCTTCACAGATACTCATCCAAAGGGTTTACATTAAATTTTCCTGATGGGCACACAGCAGTATTTTATGCTGTATCTGTATAAACTAGTAATGTGGAAAATAAAAATCTGAATAGTATACTTGATTGCTTCATGCACCAACCATTAGATTGCTAGATTTATATCTACAATTTTGGAAGAGATGTTGCAATATGATGTTCTGACAATAAGTGTCAAAGTCATAATACCAGGATCTATTTTCATCTTGTTGTTGAGGTAAAGTTATTACAATGCACAGTTGGTAGGTCAGAAAGATCACTTACTATCTCTTGTCCTCTGTAGTTTAATGCTGACCTAAACTGCTACTGTATAATGTCAGAATTATCACAATGTCGGGGCTACAGAAGTACAACATGCTACATGATTTATTGCATTTCCTGTCTCAAATAAAGATTACAAAAACGCCAAGCTACAGTGGCTTAGAAGAAACTTAATTTCTAATTTTTCTCTTTTTCCTCATTCATTTTAGATTTTGGATTTAGTAAAGGGTACACATTACCAGGTAGCCTGTCAGAAATACTTCGAGATGACACATAATGTAAGTAAATTATTTTACTTTATAGCCTAATTCTTTGTCTTTTGTTACTACTCTCTATCTCATTCAGGGTTTTTAGTTGCAGCAATGGAAACCACTCTAGCTATTTTCAGCAGAAAGGGATTTATTACATGGTATTAAGTAACTTACAAAATTTATAGAAGGGCCAGAGAACTAAGCTTGGATGCTGCAGAACCAGGAATATTGGAACTAGAGGAAGCTACATCATGAGAAACTCTTACTTTACTGCAGCTGCCACCTACCACTCCATATCTAGGGATGAGACCAAGAGTCAGTAAACTTTTTCGGTAAAGAACCAGATTGTAAAAATTTAGGCTTTGTGGTCCATGTGGTCTCTGTAACAAGTACTCAACCTTGCCAGTGTAGTGAAAAAGCAGCCACAGAAAATATGTAAATAAATAGGTATGACTCTAACCCAAAAGAGGGATGTTTATAAAAATAGGTAGAGTCCAGATTTGACCTACAGGCCTTAATGCACCAATCCCTGGACTAGATTTAGAACCTTTGCCATAGCTGCCCAGAAGAACCAAAGGTTTTTGCCACCTTCCATGCAGAAAATCTGATCCTCAAACCTCATGTTGTTGTAATCTCCTTTCCAAGTCTCATATTTATCTGCATGGCAGAACCTAAATTACATGTGGACCCCAAACTGTAAGGGAGTCAGGGAAATGTATTTAGTTTTTATCTTGCCAGCCTCCTTAGTACAAATCGGCCTGCTAGGTTATTACAGTGAGTGCTGAATGACCCAGTCTGTCTCAGAGTAGGTTCTGAAATGTGTAAAGCAAGGGGCACAAACTCTGAGGCCTACAGAGGTCAGGCAAATAACCCAAACAAGTAAAGCTGGCTGAGATTAATAGCAGAGAGTGAGGTAAAACTATGGTACACTGAAGACTTTATGCCGTTAGAGGCATTCCCACTGACAAATTTTAAGGCCCTGTGCAGGCCAACAGAACACATCTGCAGGTCACATTCAGCCCACTGGCCCCCAGTTTGCAACCACTGCGTGGATTTCTAACCTGGGACATCCAAGAATGGACTTTGGAGGTTCCTGCTCCTCTTGATGAAACATTTTGCCTCTGAATGCGTATGTGCATTTCTCTGGAGTCTGTGGTATTTGTCAGGGATCTATGACTCTCCCCAAAAAGATGTTGCACTTACTGAATTCATCATCAGTTACCATGCCAAGTTTTACAATTATTTTTATGTTTCTGTTTAGTTGTCACAAAATAATTTTTCTATTCTGGCTATATAATTGCGGAATTTCTTGATAAGATGTTTCATAGGAAAAATATATAAAACTTGCCTATGACATACCAATAATAATTGAAATAATAATAGTAAACCTGCCAGTATCTATAGAACCCTTAATGTGTGCTAGGCACAGCACTAAATTCTTTGAACATATTAGCTCTTTTAATTCACACTACAGCAAGATACTGTATATATCCCCATTTATGAATAGAACTTAGGGAGGCTGAGCAACCAGTGTAAGGTCATGTTGCTAAGAAGGAACGGAACTTGAGTTTGAACCCAGGCTGTCTCACTCATCTGAAAGCTTGTGCTGTTTCATGGTATTTGGTATTGGATTTGCACTGATGACTGTGGAGGTGATTAGCATTTTCCTGTTGAGGGAGATTCATCAAATCATAAATATGGAGGGACTTTAGAGGTCATCTCATCCAACCTTTATCATTTACATTCTTAAAAAAAGGAGGCCTAGTGATTCTAAGTGACTTGCCCTACATATCATAGCTGGTCAATGGAAATCTGGAGCGAGAGCCCTGGTCTGCTGTGGGCCCAGTCCTCTTCGTCTACACCTAACTTTACAAAATTTAAAAGACTAAACATCAAGAAAATAGCAAGTAACAACAAAATCTCACTAGTTTTTGTTACAATGGGAATCACCCCAGATAAGCCAGCACCAGTTCTGTGTGACTCACTCCTCAAAGACTACATGCCTTCATTCGCTGGCTCAGCTTGAGAGTTTTAATTTCATATGTGTTCTTAAATTGAGGTGTATTAACCAACCTCTTTTAAAAAATAAGATATAAAAATTAGTTAAACATTGAATTTGTGACATAATCACTGAAAAGGAGTTTTTTTTTTTTTACCTCTCAAATCTGCTTTCGTAATAGCACTCTATTGATTATTCCCATAAGAGTATCGCTATGCTAGTTTTTAAAATTTGCCTTAGATGAATGAAGATATTGAAAAAACATGTATCTCAATTCTCTCACATATAATCTAACTTAAACCACCTGTAAATCAATGAAGTAAAAGGCTGTTTGTATTCACTAGCTGTTTCATTATAGGTTTTTTTAAATATGAGTATCTTCCTTCATTTATAATCGTTTCTAATGTAAAAGAGAATATTTTTGTCAGATTTCTGCCTGCCTTCCCCCTGACCCCGCCAAATAAAACCCTATGTTTATTTTCCTGAGGCCTCTGTGATCAAACGCACTTAAATGAAAGTTTTCAAAATGAACCAGTTAATTGATACCATTTGCAGCAGCACTATGATAGTTCCATATGGCTGTTTTGGTAATACCAGCTGCCTCATTATAAGCTGTCATTGCAAAACCTCTTGATTAAAACCCAAATATCCCATAGGTAAAACAATATTGCTTTCATTCCTTGAAAATCTACATTTGCAGTGGCAGAAATATGAGACCCATGTTTGTGTGAAGGTCATTGTGTGCAAAATGTGCTGATTCCAAGCAAATGTCTGAGAGAGGTTCATTTAGTATATGTCAAAAGCTGGCCTGCTTAAAACCTGTTTTTGTCAGTATTTTTAGGGATCAGTGTTTAAAATAATTTTATACTGTAGTATATTCTTTATTTCCTCCATGCTCCATGTATAAATAAAAATACTAGGCCTTATGTAGATTATTTTCAATTAAAAGTCAGAGATTAATGGTTTCGGAAATAAACTTGTTTGGACACAGTAATTGTGGATACTTATTTTCTAAATAGCTGAGCATAATTTTTCCCCACCATATAAATCTCTGCAGAAATCTTGTTAAAACCTATCAAACATTTTCCTGCCATCTTAAACAAGATATATGAAAAACAATTAAGCCTTTTTTATAATAACTCAGGGTCATCATTATGGATATCAATTAGAATGCTGGGCTAGCAGCCACCATCATCTCACTTGGATCACTGCAGTAGCTTCCTACCTCATTTCTCGGCATCTACACATGCCCCATTCCAATGCTTTCTCCTCACACAGCTGCTGGAGTGACCTTTAACAATAGAGGAATCTGATCATTTCAGGAACCTGCTTTAAAAAAGCCTTAAATGGCTTCTACTTCTCTCAAGATGAAATCTAAAATTTATCACATAGCCTATTAAGGCCTCCAGTCCACCCCTCTTCCTCTGGACTCCGGCTATACTAATCTTGTTTCGGATCCTTTACAGTACACTTTGGATCTTCCAAGCTAATATGGCAGAATGAAAACACATCACAGAATTTGCCTTTCCCAATACCTAACAAAATGTGTGAAACATAGTCAAAAATCATCAACTACGAAGAAAAACGTCACCAATAGCAACCAAACAAGAAAGGCGGCAAGGAAAGAACCAGAAGATTCATAGTAGACAAAAATCAGGAAAAAATTCACTTAATATTTGCAAATGAGAAGTAAATGGCTTCTGAGCAGAAATAAGTGAAATGGGGGATTTAGATGTAGATACTTCTCTTTCTCTATTCTTTTTCCTAGTTTGGTTTTAAAGCCCTATTTTCACTCTGTTTAGTTTATGCTCTTCTCCTTCCCCAAAAAATCCCTAAGTTTTTTTTTTTCTTGAGCAAGATGAAAGGAAATTTAATGGCAACTATATATACTTTCTTCAAAAATAACAGTGAAAGAAAGAAAGACTCAAAAGACAACCCATCCTAAAAGAAAACACAATTCAGTAAAAAGGAAACTTCATAATTTCATCTTGCTATCAAGCAACTTAATAGATCACAATGAGCTTAACAAAATAGTTAAGAAAGGCAATTGCAGGCCTAAGAGAGAAAATTGAGAAACATCACACAGAGCCACGGCACAAATCTTCATGTCAAGGCCCTAGGCACCATTTTAGTTGGTTAATAACATATTAATTAAAATAAGGATTCATAAAAAATACATATGTTCCTTAAATATGATATTTTAAAGTTAAGACATTCAAATGTCATTCATTTTCTAATCTTTTGATGTAAGGGCAAGGTGTCTTTTGTTTGAGTATAGCTTAGGGATTGGAATTCTAGTTCATCTTTCTTTCACAAACCACTGCCATAATACACCGTCAATAGTTTCCAGTGTGAGTTTCTTTAGAGTGGAAAAGGAACTTAATAATATATACAAAGCAGTATGATCTTATTCTCTGTTCTTCTGGGAATTCAACTTTTTTTTAAGTGACTTGCCTTTCTTGAGTCTTTCGACATTTAATTTAGATTTCGTGGAACAAACAGCTCTTTGTTTCAACATTCGTATTTCTTTGGTTTTCCCATAGCCAACCCTATGATAGCAACCCTATCATATAACACTATTGTCTCCATTTCATAGAAGAAACTGAGACTTAAAAAGATTACCATGTTTCATTTTGTCCACACTGAAGTCTAGTAATTCAGAGTTGTCTTCTGTGACAGAGGTATTGAAAACTTTAACAACTTGAAGCAAGGTGTAGAAAATCCCCAATGTGTTATCATAGCACAAGGTATTAGATTCTTTTTGTATGAAATAATACTATATTTTTATAATCTTTATAGCCAAGTTTAACTCTAGAAATAATTATAATGAAGATATCATTGTCAGTTTATTTGACTTTGCGTAAAACCTCTTCAAACAGCTTTCAGAGCAACTAAATGATCTAGTCAAAAGGCCTGAATTTTAATTAAGACCAAAACCAGTTGCTAGTTCTAGGACTTTGAGTAAACCATGTATTCTTTTTAGGCCTCAGTTTCCTAATCTGCATGGAGGAGGTACAATTTAACAGATCCCAAGGTCCTCCTAACCTCTAATTTTTTTCTATTTATAAAATGTAGAGTCTTCTGATTGAAATGTCTTAGGGAATAAACTTACTTTTTGTGGAACACTTTGCAAAATGCAAAGTTTATATTGTATCTCCCAGTTTTTAATGAATTGGGTGAAAATCAAACATAATAAAGAAGTTCACAAATGACTCCATTGTTAATAAAAATTATAGATGTGTCCTAAAACATTCAAGAAACATTTTGACATTAAGCAGCCAAGTTAAACAAAAAACAAACAAAAAAAAGTAAAGCAAAGAGAAACATTTATTCTTAGTGTACAGACTGATTTTTAAGAGACTTAGATCACTATCTGTTACACACTGAAGTTACTATAAAATTATTGGCCCAATATATATTAACTTACTAAAGAGAATCAGAGAATCCGAGAATCCTGGATGTTTAAATATTACCAGAAAAGACCTTGTTTCTGTTTATTGATGAACCCATCAGGAGGGTTCATTCTGGACCATAACAACAACTCCTTTTTCCCGCTGCCAACTCATTTAATCTACCAGAAGATTACGCACAGCTCCAGAAGATTACGCACAGCTCTAATCACACCACCTCCCCTCTTAAGGATCTTTACTGACTCCCCATTGTGTAGAGAATTCAGTCTACACTACTTACCCCAGTTTTCAAGGCTCTCAGAGGTCTGGTCCCTGCTTGTCTTTCCAACCTCATTCCCTATTCCCTTTTTTGTGCCTTTCACATCAGCTATGTGAACTACTTGCTTTCCCAGGACATTTCCTCTTGGCCTTGCTCTTGTGGTCCCGCTGTTCGCATTGCCCTGTCCCTCATTGTCCCAGCTTTCCACTGTCTCCGTCTTTCCAGACTCAACTTGAATAGCGCTTCTTGATCTCACAGAGCTTCCTTGATCTCCCCAGCTGGAGTTTCTCTCTACTGTGGAGTCTGATGGGCCTTTATCTGTGACCCTTATCACTTCTCCATTCTTAGCAGAGGTTTTTGAATATATGACTCACTGGGCTGGAAATTTCTTGAGTTAGTCTTAGTCAAATACATTCTTATATTCTGAAAAAATACTAGCTTATGACATGGTCATGTACATAGTAAGTCTTCAGTTAACGTGAAACCTGTGACTGGTATACACTGGCTATTTCTGGGCCCAACTCACCAAACGTTTATTAGATACCTACTGTGTGCAAGTCACCTCAGTACAAAAAGCGAGATGTAAAAAGATTGGTAAATATAAGGCAGATGGACAAAAGAAGTGTAATGGCTTCTTAGTTTCCAAAAAATATGAAGTGAAAATACCACACAAAAAAACACAACAAAGTAACTTAAGCAAAATGGTATTTTTGTTATCAGTGCCACATGCAGAAGGCAGGAAGGCAGGGATTTTAAACTGCAGAAAGCAAAACCTCAGATAAGAGGACATTAGTGTGATGCACAATTTGAAATGATACTCAAAGTTTTGTGGTAGTATTTGAGAAAAGAAATGGCATAATACTACGAACCTAGGCATGTTTGTATTAAGTCACAGGAAAAATTAAAAGAAAAAAATTTCTATAGAAAGACGGGGGAAAGCTCAAGATTAGAATGAAGAAATTACATTGAATTAGGTTGCTTTTTCAGAGTTTGTATTATACTAAACGAAATTACATATGCCAGACTATAAATAAGTTCTAAAATACGAGTGGTCTCAGGGACCAGTATTAGAATGATGGTGATCAATGATTTTGAGATCACTTTTTTTTTTAAATATTTATTGGCCTACGATGTGCTGGGCCTTTTGCTTGGAACTGGGGATCCAATAGTGAATACACAGGTGCCTAACCTGTGCATCACTGATACACAGGGTGGCACACACATGCACACACCCAGGCTTGTTTCCCAAACATATGTTTATTACTTTTTTCTAATTTTTTATTTTGAGGTAATCATCGACCAGAATTGGTAATGGTTTGGATATTACCAGAGTTGAGGGCATGGTGTGGATGGGAGGTAGGATTTTGGAGAGGTGAGAGAAAGGTGTCCAGTATGCCCAAGAATGGATGATGATACCAGTCACTGAGAGCAAAGGGCAGGGGAGAGGGGACGGGATAAGTTTCATATTGAGTGTGAGCTGCCTCTGAGCCATCCTAGATGTTGAGTAGGCCCTGCATATGGAAGGCAAGCTGGACAGGAACTGGAACTAAGTGCAGAGGTTTGGGCTGAAAACATAAATGCAGTCATTTTAATGTCCAGGTATTAGTTGAAACTCCTTCTGAATGAAATGGTGCAAGTAGTGGATTGAGCATTATGGACTACAACAGTTAGGGTCCATGTTTTAGGTATTAAGTTTTAAATGAGAGCTGGGACAGATTTTGAAACGCTTGTATTTATAGCTTTGTTGTGCATTAATGTGATATAAATTTGCTTCTTTGTACAGGTGGATGATTGTGGCTTTTCTTTGAATCATCCTAATCAGTTCTTTTATGAGAGTCAACGTATTCTAAATGGAGGTAAAGACATCAAGAAGGAAGCCGTCCAACCAGAAACCCCTCAACACAAATCAAATGTCCAGAAAACCAAGGATGCATCATCTGCTCTGGCCTCTTTAAATTCCTCTCTGGAAATGGATATGGAGGGACTAGAAGATTACTTTAGTGAATGATTCTTGGGCAGTTTAGGAACCCCTTTCCTCTCTAGCCTTCATTCCTACCATTACAATTCTGCCTGTTTCAACTTTAACTTCTTTCACCCCTCCCCAGTCCGTCCACATGTATACACACATTAGGAAACCATGCTTGCAGCTAAAAACACAGAACCCCACACTATGTTTTGCTTTGACAAAGGGGAGGAAGAGGAGTTTCTGTTAAAGTCTGTCACTTGAATGGTGTGATTTAAGTCCCGTTTTAGGAGATAAAAACAGCTTTCTGGACAGATTAATGTCCAGAAATACAGCTAAATACGCTAAAACCACTTTTATTTTAACCCTTATCCTTTGTCATTTTGACCCAACCCTTTTCCCATTTTTGTTAATAAATATCAAAATGTACATGACTGTGTGTGTGTGTAATTGGGAGAATCTGATTGTGTCTTAAGATTGGACATTACCTCAGTTTTTAGAGTAGCGCTTTGAGAGCTTGTTTGGAGGTTCTAGCAGGGGAGCGCAGCTACTCAAATACCCTTGACCGAAGGCCGTCCTCTTCGACCCAGCGTGCAGCTTCGGGAGGGACACACGTGGAGCGGTGAGGGAGGAAGGGGACACCCGCCTAGCCAGCCAGATCAGCCAAATCAACCCTGGCGATCAATGGGGTGACAGATGTCACAGCCAGATCGCCCTCACATCCTTAAAGTGGCACTTTGGAACATCCAACACACTGTTAATCACCACTGAAAATTTTAAATTATATCCTTTTCTTGGTTATTGTTGTTGTTTTTTTAGCTGACCTATTTGTGGTTATTCTGCATCAGCAAAGAGAACTTTGGTCCCTTTGAGTAGCAGCAAACTATTGAAATGAATTGTGACTTAGAAATTAAAAAAGAAAAAACAATTTGTATAGCCAGTTATATTTATTACAGGAGTTTTTTTAATGTAAAATAATGGCACTTCTTATCTGCTGTCATTTTTTCATTCTCTCTGGGGGCAGGTTCATGAAGAATAGACAATTTCTGAAGCAAGAAGTTCGTACGTCTAGAGTGTTTGTCTATCATACCCTCCACTTCCATGTCTTGTTACTTCTGTGGTTGCTGTGAATTACCAAATAGGTTTGGTAACTTCATTAACTTCAGTAATGAATATTCTGATATTCATAGAACCCCCCTCCTTTCAGTGCCAGCAGCAGAATTTAGTAAATGTTGTGGAGGACTATAGACATACAAGATGAATGCCCTGCCCTCTTTACCTGCCTTTGGGAAGGAGGGAAGGAGGGAAGGTGGGGGTGGATGATCCCTGGCACTTCATTCCTTACAGAACAGTGTCACTGACTTCCTCCCAGGCTCTCTACTCACGCACCAGAGTTTGGGGGACTCTTAGGAACCCCATTTTGAAACGTAACTCTCCTCACCTGTTACCTTGGAATATGTGAAAAATATTAGTCTATTTCTGTCCTCTTTTCCTGGTACAGAGGGGTAGAGGGGTACTTTTCCTTTATGAATCAGATATGTAACTAAATTAAAAAGAGGATGTTGTTTTCAGAAAACTGGACTATTAGAAGCACGTTTTTAATCCTGTGATGAACTACCTCAATATGAAAGATTTAAACGTGATCAGATCATCAGAACCTAAAAATGTCAACTATATCCGGTTTTTATTTTAGGCTTCTGAGCCAAAGATTTCTTGGAATATTTAGTAACATACAATTAAATGAAATACTATCTGAACTTTTACTTGTCTTGGTGAATTATCATCACCTAGTTTGGAAAATAGTATTATTCCACTACAAATTACCCCTATAAATCTCTCCCTTCTGAAACCATCTGCTATTCCCTTCATCATTTGTAGTTCTCAACAGGAATCTGATGATTGCCTACCACTTTATCCATGAACTGCAAAACCACGATTCCTTTTTTTTCTTTTTTTAAATTAAGAACAAGTGCTACACAGAGCTGTTTTAACCACAGAATTAAGTTAGCTTTAGAAAGCCAAGCACAGAAATGCAAGTCTCTGTTATATTAAAAGAAGGAAAGTATTAGACACACACTCTCTGCTGTAGTTCAATGAGAAATCTTATGATGTTTCGTATCTGGCAACATTTTGCAAGGCTGTCTTTTTCTACTGCCTCATGCTCTCCTTTTATGAAGCCTGTGCTCCCACCAGCTAAAAGGACAGAGCCATTGATGGCATGGCAGATGTGCCTTAGTGGACTATTTATTTTATACTGGCAGCCCCAAGAATTTGTGTCATCCTATACTTGAATGTTTTATGAGTGTCTAGTCAAACTCCAAAATAACACTAGTTTAAATGTGAGTTGTATTACAGGTTCAATTTTTTTATAATAAGGTTTGATCTCCTGTCATGTATTATACAGAAGAATATAGAAACATTTTGTGAAGTGTATAGATTAGAGGATAGGGAATAGAGGTGTATAAAAGAAGATAGAAATTAATGCTTTTTTGGTGCTTTTTGCAGTTGGAAAAAGCAATTTATTTTTCATGCTTCACAGGTCTTGACAATTTTGATTTGTTTTCTTTGAGAGCAGACCTGTTTGAATTGGATGATGTAGGAAGAACCCAAAAGAAAAATCAAAAGCCAACAGCCTCTTTTCAAAACTGTAGCCAGTGAAAAAGAATATGAATCTTCCAGATCTTTTAACTTTTACTCTTTTATTACCTCTTCGAGGAAGAGAGGCTGTGTGATTATCAAAGACAAATAAGAGACAGCAGAAGAAAGAACCTAGGTTGGATAGTTGTAGCTGGTTGAAGCAATGACATTGTTAGCAGAGATTCTATCATACTTGCTTTATGTTTCTCCATAATGTTTTTCACTCTGCCCATACAGTACAAAACTCTTAATTGCTGTGTGCATAAAAGAACACTAGGAAGGTTTTAAGTAAACTTTTTAGGACTGCTTATAATATTATAGAGTCATTAAAGTGAATAGTTATAGATTTTGAATGAGTTGGGAATGGAATAAAGCAATGGGAAGGATCTTTAATTCACATAGAATTTTAATAAGCTGAGGGATTTCTTCTCTCTTTAAAAGCATACAGGGTGTTTTGCTTGTTACACTTTGCTGTCTTACTGATACTCAGGATCTTTGCAAGCAAACTTCTGTAATTCTTTACAGAGAAGAAAAGAAAACTTCTGGGATTTTAGCTTGAAAGGCAAAATGAGACAACTCTAAAGTTCTGGTTCGGTTAGAGTCTACTGTTTGCAAATTTAATCAAGGTCTTCCACAGGCATCAGCTTGACATTAAATTTAAGTGCCCATTAAAGTGAGAGTTTGACAGCAGTTCTGAATGTGAAGCTAAGTCTGAGGACATCTTTACAGCTGGAAGGGGAAAAAAAAAAAAGTTGAGAAGCCTAAACCACTGTGGTAATTAGATCCATTTGTTAACTTCTCTTCTAATGTTGGCGAAGGGAGGGGGAGAAAAGGTTGCCTGGCTGGAATCAGGCAGGCAGCCCAGAGTCCCTACAGAAATGGGGCATGCACAGGGTCCTGCATTGCAGCAACCACTGGTCAATATCCTCTCTGACAGATGAGTAAGATGGTGCAATTATTTCAAGAACTTTATTCAGTTTTTATCCCTTTTAACACAGAAGCAGTGTGTGGAAGTTGTATTTTGAATGGGTGTGCCAGTTTGCTTATAAGGTACCTTGGAAGACACATTATTTGAGAGTGGACCTCTAGTGGTACATTGTTGGCCTGAAGAGTTAGTGTTTCTCACAAAGGTATCAAACTTACATTCAGGTAATCACTTATTTACCCAAAACATCTGGCTGCCTTTTCAATATTGAGTTCCTTCGTGACAGATAGCTATTGCCCTAGTCTAAGGCCTCTCACCATAATTGGCATATATGCAATTAACTTTGTGACTCTATGGAAATCATGTCACCTGTAGGAAATTATCTTCTGACTTCATCTGACTTTCCTGCCAAAAATGATACTATTTCCTGTTATTGGATTTACTTTCTATCCTGTAAGCTCTTTTTGTCCATTGCTTCATGATATTTTATTTTTTTCAAGAATTAGCACTGTAGAATCCTATCAAAGGCTAAAGAATATGTCTGTATATAAATCTACAGTATTTCCCTTGAGCCTTCGATTGTAATACTGTTTTTGAACACTGATTAAAAAGTAGTTAAACAACATTGCTAATAAATGTATGATGGATTTTTCAATTCAGACTTGGCATTTTTTTCTAGGTATATTCATTCACTGTAATAGAACTATGAGGCTCTTTAAGGTTTTGTTTTTTCAGTGTTGCACTGAAAGCACAGAGAGAAAATAAATTCAACAAATACTGCATTTAAGATTCTTTCTAACGTGGAAACTAACCATCTCATGCAAATTTTCCAGATTCCCCACACCTACTATTTTTTAAGAAATTTTTGCTTTCCCTTGGGTAATAGAGGATACCAAGGTCTTCATTACTGATTAAAAAGGACATAGTGATACATGCTTCTTTTTTATGTTCCCTTTCATCACCAAGGATTAAATCATGATTTAAACAATTCTCTACCACCCTTAACACTTGGCTGTCCATAGAGTTCCCATCTGGTCCTCTTCTCACTCCACGAGTCTCCCTAAGTGATCTCATCCACTCCCATGGTATTGCTTTCTATCTGAATGTCCCACTAGTATCTCAAATTTAACGTGTCCAAACTCAAACCTGTTCTCTTTCTTTGTTAACCTTGATGACTTCCTTTCCTACCTTCTCCATACATCCAAGTCCAATTGATTCTGTTTTAATATTAGCATGTCTAAACCAGTAGATCTCAACTGGGGCCAATTTTGCCCTGTAGGAGACATTTGGCAATGTCTGGAGACATTTTTGGTCATCACATGGGGGCGGGGGGTGGGGGGTGGCGTGCTGTTCTTGGCATCCAGTGGACAGAGGCCGAGGATGCTACTAAACAAACTATAGTGCGCAGGACGGCCCCCCGCAACAAAGAAATACCTGGCCCAAAATGTAAGTACTGCTGAGGGTGAGAGATACTGTTCAAGAGTTTCCTCTCCTCCTTTTCTTGCTTGTACTACATTAAATTACCCTCTCAGCACTTCTAGTCACAGTGATCTCTTAACTTACTATCCTCGTCTCCACTTGCCTACCCTGAACCCTATCCCACATCCTTCTTCAAAATGTAACCCAAGTGCTTTTTTCCCCCCAAAACGTGTGTCTTCTTA